GCCCTCGCAGGGGCTGTGGCTGCTGGGGCTGCGCGACGGGAAGGTGCTGGAGGCGCACGTGGAGGCCAAGGAGCCGCGCGCGCTGCGCACCGAGGTGCGGCCGGCGCGCGTGGGGCTCTACCTCAGCTTCCCCGACGGCGTCCTCGCCTTCTACGACGCCAGCGACGCCGACGATCTCCAGCCGCTCTTTGCCTTCCGGGAGCGCCTGCCCGGCCCCGTCTACCCCTTCTTCGACGTGTGCTGGCATGACAAAGGGAAAAATGCCCAGCCATTGCTGCTGGTGGGGCCCGAGGGCCAGGAAGCATGACCTGGGTGTGGGGAGGGAGGAAGGGAGGAGGGAGGGCCAGGGAGGGGGGCATGGCCAGGGGTGAAGGTGGTGACCCTGAGGATCCAATCCAATCCGAAGGGATGGCAAAAATAAAGGGAGGGCTGGGAAGGTGGCTCAGTGGTAGAGCGCTTGCCTCGCATGCCTGAGGCCCTGGGTTCAATTCCTCAGCACCACATAAGCAGAAAAAGCCGGGAGTGGCGCTGTGGCTCAAGTGGTAGAGCACTAGCCTTGAGCTGAGGAGCTGAGGGACAGCACCCAGGCCCAGAGTTCAGGCCCCACGGTCGACAAAAACAAATAAAAAGTGAGTCTGAGCATCGGAGGCCGGAGGATTGCAGGAGGAAGCAGAGGATGATGGAGGTTGGGAAGATGGTGGGGGGGGGGCAGGGGAAGGGAGGTGCAGAGGTCTGTAAAATCAGGGGCCCTTTGCTTACTCCTTAAAAGTCTAGGGCAGGGCCTACTGAAGGTGAGCACTTCAGTGATCTTGCAGCAAACTGCCTTTTTGTTTTTTGTTGTCAGTCCTGAGGCTTGAACTCAGGGCCTGTGCGCTGTCCCTGTGCTCTTTTTTTTTTTTTTTTGCTCAGGGCTAGCACTCTACCACTTTGAGCCACAGCTCCACGTCTGGTTATCATCTGGTGCCAAATTGAAAGGAAGAGTCTCATGAACTTTCTTGGGTTGGCTTTGAACTTCCATCCTCAGAGCTCAGCCTCTGAGTAGATAGGATTATAAGCATGAGCCACCAGTGACTGGCTCCTGTCTTTTACTTACAGGCTAGTGAGCCACAGCTTCACTTCTGACTTTTATTTTGGTAATTTATTGGAGATAAGAGTCTCGGGATGTTCCCTTTGGCAGCACATATACTAAAAAACTGGAACAATACAGAGATTAGCATGAGCCCTGTACAGGGACCACAAGCGAATTCATGTAGTGTTCCATTTAAAAAAAAAAAAAGAGGGCTGGGAAGGTGGCTCAGTGGTAGAGTGCTTGCCTTGCATGCATGAGGCCCTGGGTTCGATTCTTCAGCACCACATAAGAAAAAAGAAAAAAGCCAGATGTGGTGCTGTGGCTCAAGTGGTAGAGCGCTAGCCTTGAGCTGAAGAGCTGAGGGACAGTGCCCAGGCCCAGAGTTCAGGCCCCACGACCGGACCCAAAAAAAAAAGAGTCTCATGGACTTTCCTGCTTCTGGCCGGCTTTGAACCTCAATCCTCAGATCTCAACCTCCTGAATAGCTAGGGTTACAGGTGTAAGACACCAGTGCCAGGTTTCTCTTTTATTAAAAGTTTTTTTTTGGGGGTACAGGGATTTGAGGTGAGTGCTTTGCCCTTGCTAGGCTGGCACTCTATCACTTGAGCCACACCTCCCACCCAACTTCCCTGCTTGTTATTTTGGAGATGGAGAAAAATGAACTTTTCTACTGGGCTGAGCCTCGAACCAAGATACTCCAGACCTCAGCCTCCTGAGTAGGTAGAATTATAACCATGAATCACCAGTGTGGATTTAAAAGACTTCTAGGCATTCTCAATCCTCTGGAGCTTTCAAGATTTGGACAGGTGGAGCTGCTTTCTACCCTAACTGGAAGGAATGCCTACCCTTCACTCTCACAGCCTGGCCTGGAGACCCCTAGCAACTGGTCCTTGGGGGGGCTGATGATGAGCCTGAGCAAATCAGGTGACAGGAAGGTCATGGGTGGAGTAAACAAGGCCTAAAGATCTGGCCAGTGAGAGATGATCTGCTTGAATGTGTCTTTCTGTTCGGCTTCCACAGATAAAAGAGAAAATTCATTTCAGAAGTTCTTTCACATTAGCAAATAAAGCAATAAAGAAAAGGCCTTTTTGGTTGTAAAATCTAGCACCACTAATAAAATACTGTTCTAGTCTTGACTCTTTGTGCCTTAAACTAGTCAATAGCCTCTTTATGACCCTAATGACTCAACCTTTGGTTTTGATTCATCTAATCTTTCTTTCCTTTTCCTTTCTTGCTTTTTCTGCTCAAGGTTGCTGATGCTTACCACATTAGCAACACCTCCACTTCTGGCTTTTTGTTATTGTTGTTGTTGATTAATTGGAGATAAGAGTCACTAAGCTCCTTCCTCAGCTCTTGGCTTCCTGAGTACTTGGGATTGTAAGCATTCGCCACTAGCATCCTAGTTTTCTTAAGAACATGTGTTTAGTTTTCAGTGTGTGGTATACTCTGTGTGTGTGTGTGTGTGTGTGTGTGTATGTGTGTGTGTGTGTAACTAGCCATTCAGTGACTCAAAACACTTATCCTGTAAGGTAAAGCCCAGAGTCTTTGGGACTTCATTTGAGCTGGCCACTACCTTGTGTGTTTCTGAAGTCTGGCCCTTCTGAACTCCTGGGGTCCCCTCACTCCCTACATCATGCAGCTGTTTTCTAAGAACCCCTTTTGTTGGGTGCCAGTGGCTAATGCCTGTAATCCTAGCTATTCAGGAGGCTGAGATCTGAGGATTGCAGTTTGAAGCCAGCCCAGGTAGGAACGTCCATGAGACTCTTATCACCAGTTAACCACCAGAAAACAGAAAGTGGCGCTGTGGCTCAATGTGGCCTTGAGCAGAAAAACTCAGGGATGACGCCCAGGCCCTGAGTTCAAGCCCCATTTCCCCCTGCCCCCAAAAAACAAAAAAAAAAAAAAAACCCTCTTGTCCCTCCTGCTCATCCTTCTCTACTGGTCCTTGAAACACCACCATCTCTTCTACTTGACTCTCTCTGGGAGAGCGTCTATTATCACTCTCCACTTTGGACCAGCCAGCCCCTGGCATCTGGGTCCTGTCTGGGGCGGGGAAGGGAAGGGTGTACGAGAGCCAGCGCCTCTCCCTTAGGAAACAGGTCCTCTGAGAAGCAGATGCAAGGGGAGCTTGAATGTGGGGACAGATGCCCATGTGGAAGGAAGGGAGAAGGGCTATGGGGCTGTAATGAAGTCTGACCCAGAGTGAGTGAGAGAAGGAGGAAACAAAGAGCTTGAAGCAGCCAGGACTGCTGTGGGTGACGGCAGCAGCCAAAGCAGCCTATCCTAGGCATGTCTCCTGGGATAAGCCCTCCTTCTCCCTGCTGCTGAGCCAATGGCTGAGCTCAGCCTTCTCTGTAGCCGGTGGCAGGTGCTCTCTTCTAGCAGAAAGCTTTCTTTTTCATTATTTATTTTTAATTTTTAAAAGTGTTATCACAAAGGTGATGTATAGAGGGGTTACAGTTACCTAAGTCAGGCAAGAAATGCATTTCTTTTTTATTTATTTATTTTTTATTGTGAAAATACCGTACAGAGGGGTTATAATTACATGAGCAAGGAAATGAGTACATTTCTTGTCAAGCATTGCTGCCTCCTCCTTTGTTTCCCCTCCCCATCCCTTCCCATCTCCTCCTCCCTCCCCCCTGCACCCACCCCAGAAATACATTTCTTTTTGGACCATGTCACCCCTTCCCTCACCCTCTCCCAGTTTTTTTCCCCTTCTGTCCCCATTTCTTTTCATTTTAATTATGTGATGATGGGCTTTATTGTGGCATTTCCATGTTACATATACATTTATATATATATATATATAATATATTTTGGTAATATTTATACACTCCTCCCTTTTTCTTTGTTTTCTTTTTGGGTCTGGTCTTGGGACCTGAACTCTGGGCCTGGGTGCTGTCCCTCAACTCTTCAGCTCAAGGCTAGCGCTCTACCACTTGAGCCACAGCGCCACTTTCGGCTTTTTTCGTTTTGCGTATGTGGTGCTGAGGAATTGAACCCAGGGCCTCATGCATGCAAGGCAAGCGCTCTACCACTGAGCCACCTTCCCAGCCCCTTTCATCCCCTTTTCTTTGAACAATTTCTAATATGTGCTGTTCTTGAATTTTTTTTTTGTGCCAGCCCTTGGGCTTGAACTCAAGACTGGGGTGCTATCCCTGGGTTACTTTTTATTTATGTATTAATTAATTATATTTTATTTATTTATATTTATTTTATTAATTTGTTGTTCTTGCTCCAGACTAGCACTCTACCACTTGAGAGTTACAGCTCCACTTCTGGCTTTTTGGTGGTTAATTGGGAAATAACAATCTCCCTGGACTCCTGGTTAGGCTGCCTTTGAACCTTAATCATCAGATCTGTACCTCTTAAGCATCTAGGATTACAGGTGTGAGCTACCAGTGTCTTGCTTTTGCTTATCAATTTTTATACATGCATATGATGTATTTTGGTCATATTATTCCCCCTGACACTCCTAAAACTACTAGATTGAAGACATAGCCTACAGAATAGGCGAAATCTTTGCCAGCCATTCATCTGATAACTATAAAGAAAGGGTTAAAAAAATTAACTGTGGGCTGGGAAGGTGGCTCAGTGGTATAGTGCTTGCCTTGCATGCATGAGGCCCTGGGTCTGATTCCTCAGCATCACATAAGCAGAAAAAGTTGGAAGTGGCACTGTAGCTCAAGTGGTAGAGTGCTAGCCTTGAGCTGAAGAGCTGAGGGACAGCGCCCAGGCCCAGAATCCAGGCCCCACAACCAACCAAAAAAAAAAAAAAATTAAATGCACAGAAACCAAATAATCCAATTACTAAATGAGACAAATGAATTGAATAGGCAGTTTTCAAAAGAAGAAGTACAAATGGCCAATAAATACATGAAGAAATGTTTAATGTCCTCAACTATAAATGAAATGCAAATAAAAATGATATTGAGATTCCATCTCATTTGAGCCTGACGCTTGAGCTCAGACTTGCTTGGCTTTACCGAGTTTACTTGAGGCCACACCTCTAGTCTGGCACTTTTCTGGTTAATTGGAGATGGAGTCTTGAGGACTTTTCTGCTGGGCTGGCTTCAAACACTTGCTCCTGTAGGTCTCAGCCTCCTGAGTAGCTGCGATTACAGGCAAGAGGCACTGGTGCTGGGCTCATACTAATCTTGATGTCCATCAGCTAGAAAGCAAATAGCAACACACTCTGGTGAAGATCAGGGAAAAATGAATCCTCATACTCAATTAGT